AGAAAGCAGAGGAAATACCAAGGTCAAGGCTTCAGGTTCCCCTTCTGCCCCTTTTCCTAGAGGAAATCTGGTTTTCCTCCAATTCAGGGTCCATTTCAACAAAATTATAAATTCAGTGGAGATACATTTCCTTCTTTCCATGTTATACCCTCAAGCCTCTCTCCCTCATTCTCAGAAAAGGGCTTGGTATCAGGCATTTCACACCCTTCCTGGAATTTAAATTTCAGTGTTCCTTTCTCCAAAAGCACTTGTGGTTTCTAGCAGGTCTATTGTTAAAAGATTTTTTAACATCAGGGAGCAGGTGGGGAGTTTTAGAGACAGGGTGGTCTTTCAATCACTCGCTCTGCAACTATTAGAAACACTCTTCTAAAGAAGGGGTCAGTTGTCCTTACCCCTAGCTGATTATAGCCTCTTCCTTAGGTTAGTATCAGTCATTGGCTAAACAGCAGGGGTTTCATTTAATAATAAAACATCTTAATAGCAAATAGAAAATTCTTTATAAATACAGAGCATTTAGAATGACAGTGGATTAACATTTTAATTAAACATGGCAATTCCAATCATTTTTATCATTATAGAAATACCCAACATTTTGACATATTTCAGGTATAAATTGATGGTTCCAGTTCGATGACAAATTGAAATAATTTTTCAGGTGATATTTGTAAGCTTTCAGTAGCAGAAAAAGACGGTATTCAACAGTCAAAGCTAGATTTTACACATTCCCATTCAAAATATGGAAGCCTCCCTTACTCCATACATAGCTTGAAAAATTATTCTCCCAGGAGTCAGACACCCCATGATAAATTAATTTGATGCTTATGATTTACAAAACTCACACCAGAAAGTATTTGTTTTCCCCAGTAGAATGTCAGACTTTGTTCTCTTGTTGAAAGGCGTGGCAAGCAGGACTGGCATGTGTGTTTGTTTTAGCAGTAACTGATTTATTGAGCACGGAAGATGGGAGTTAGCCTCATGCTAACACTGACCTGCACAGGGGACGAGCAAGGCAGCATTCATTGTCCTTGCAGAGGAGGGATTTCAGGCTCAGAGCAGATAAGTAATTTGCCAAATGGCACACAGTTAAGAGGTAGCAGAACTAGGAGTGGAACCCACAACAGGCAGACTCTCTTTCAACATAGCCTTTGCTGAAAGGGAACTCAATAAATATTTTTCAATTGTTATATTTTTTCTGTTTTACACCAGAGAAGAGACTCCACTAACCTGTCATATAAAGCTGCACAACCTAACCTTATTGAGCCAATTTCTTTGTCACATTTCCTCTGCCAAATCTCTGACCCCCAAATCACCACTTTTTCATCAACATCAAAATACAGATTTTCTTTGAAGGAGAAATGTTTTTCAGGAAAACAATAACTATTTTAACAGATTTATCTCTTTTTTATATATTAAACAAGTTGAATCTTTAAACTCTATTTTAAATTAAAATTGTTCTTGGTTTCATCACCTTTATTATTACTCATCTAGTGTGCCGAACTGCTGGCCTTATTATCACCATTTGCCTTCAAGTCCCTGAGAAACATGCAGAGATTTTCCAACAAAGTTAAGCAATTTCTATCTCTGTGGAGCTTCCTCCCATCCTTTGCAGTCAGATCAGCTGAAATTTGCTGTTAAACTACAGGGAGAATTTCAGATTGAAATAACAGACAATGTAAATGCTCATCGAAATGAACATGCAAAAGTGTTGTGAATTTAGAAAAGTTTGGAACATGTAAGAGAAAATGAAGCCACTCTGAGAACAACAGTGCAGTAAATAGTCTTAGTCGTTTGTCATCTAATTATACTGGCTAATATTGCTGACAAATACCCAGCAGTACCATGATGTTTTAGGATGATAAAGCTCTTGGGACGGAATGAAGTTTATTGATAAGATCAATAAGTATTCCTGGACTAAAGTTGTTGATACTTATAGCACATATTTTACCAATCCTCGATTAAAAAAACAAAAGTTCTTGAGGGCGGGACAGTGTCCCTTTTCATCTTTATAACCCCACAACAGAGCTGAGCGAACACCATTCTCCTAACAATTTGCTCAATAATTGTTTGTTGAATGACTATCAGTATTTAATAACTTTTCTGCAAAACCTTCTGGTGATTCTGCTACTGGGAGAAATTATCACTTAAAAATTATGACACAACATTGTGAACACATTGAATGCCAATAAACTGTACATGTTTAAGTGATTAATCTTATGAGAATTTTGCCTTAATAAAGAAAAAAAGCTGCAGAGGCCTGGGAATAGCAACCTAATGGCTTTCATTAAAATCCAACACAATATATTCTCATATTTTCATATCAAATGTAAGAGCCTATTAACATTTTTAATCATATGTAAAAACTGCTTAAGATCTTAATCTTACTTTATCTTATCTTAATTAATGTATTATCTTAATCAACCTTAAGATAAAAGAGAAAAGTTTCAACAGAATTTCCAGAAATAGTGATGCAAGTAGGCCTAAAATTTTTAAAGCACTCATGATTTGCTGAGAAGCAGTTAGACTTTTCACATTTCTCCCTGGCTGCAGAGTTTGCTGTCCCCTGGACCCAGCACGCTGAGAGGGGGAGGCTAGAGCAGGGACTTTGTCCTGGGTTACTACCCAAGCTGAGAAACTTTCCAAGAACCATCCCTACAAGCCCATCCTTTCACCAACTTTGATCACACTTCCAAATCATTCTAAGAATCCCAAACTTATCATTTCCAAAGTGAGGCGTCCCTCCTTTTTTGACAGTGTAAAGGCTGTTTTGTTGTTGTTTTTTTTAGAGTAAAGAAAAAAATCTCTTATTCAAAAGATTTTAGCAATCTGAATTCAGTAGGGTTGAAAACACAAATGTGGTTTCCACTAGTTGAGGAAGCAATATTTTGTCTTCTGATGATTGAGAAAACAGTTTTTCTTTTCTGTTAAAAGGGCATTTATGGAGATGAATGTTTAAGTGCTGAGGACATTGCAGGAGGTTTTCAAGCTAAATTTTTATCTGTAAAAGGCCAGTGATTACACCCTTGTTCTCAAAAAGTTAACACATTTCGAGTAAGCCGCAGCTTGCAATCTTGTCTGTATCAAATTTTCCTTTCTGCTTTCTGATAAATCACAATGTGACAGTCTAGGAGCCTTCCTCCCTCTCTGTTTTGCTTGCTCATTAGGTCTTTAAAAGAAAATGCAAATCCTCATCTCTTCATTAACCCATCTTAGAAAATAACTCAGATGTTCCTAATTTCTCCTCTGATTTATCAGACCGGTCTCTGATAACTTTTGAAAGAAGTCCATTGAACATTCTCAAGGACAAAGGACACTTTATAGAAATAAGCAAAAAGAAAGCCTGACATCAGCACAAGAGGAGAAAAACACCGACAAGTTTGGTAAATGTTGCTTGCTGGCTTCAGGATTATTTCCAGCTCTGGCCAAGCCAATAAACACATCACACTGAAAATGTTTTATTTAAAAACTTCCCTGATATAATCTATGAAAATAACTAAAAGAGTCTCCATTTCACTCTATAATATAGATGCCTGGCAGGCAAAAGGAAATCACAATCTAATGTAACCTTTTCTTTAAGAGAAAAATAACAATAAATATGGCAACATGACAGAATCTGAAGGAATCAAAACACATTTATTCGTAACTCCTGAAAAATTTTCTCACCATGTGATTGAGTATGTGTGTGTGTGTACACCTGTCTAAAATTAAAATTAAGTCTTTCTTCACACACCAACACGAACTAAATCCTAGGGTCTTCTCAGAATGCTTCCCCAGGATCAGGTGGCTTTAAAAAGAATTCTATTTACCAAAATCATTATGACAGTGTTTATTTTCCTCAGAGGGGAGCTGGAGGGAGGGCAGGAGAGGAAAGAAAAGAAAACTGGTGAGTTTTTGTATAATAAGTGACCCTGTCATGCAAATAAACAAGGGCCTCTCTTTCAGGATATCTGTTACAAAGACATCTCCAACTCTAACTGTGTTACTCAGCTCCTCACCAGAAACAGAACTGCTGACCCCACCGAAAGTAAAGAAGTCTTTTCTCCTTTAGACAGGGGGGAATAAGCAAGGCATGTGTGAGAATGATTTTCTTGAACACGACACCAGGCACATTCTCAGTCATTTGACCATAATCTAAGCGCCTGCCTCAGCACCTTTTCCTTCAGACAAATCAGAGATCGTCCGGATGCCCACAAGAATTCCACCACACGGCCTTTCCGAGTTTATTCCACCACACTGCCTTTCCTTTATTTTTTTCCTTCAAGTTCACATTATTTATGGGTCTTAAGTTGGGGAGGAGGCAGGGTGGAGCAATTCCCAACAAAGACAAACACAGTTTGCAATAACAAAACAGAAAGGGTGTATTTGTGTGTGCAGGACAGGGGTGGGTGGATTATATTTAATTTTTTTCAGAAGAATGAATTAAAAGACAGGCAGCCCAGATTTCCTAAGTAGTCAATTTTTGAGGAGGTAGGTAACACTGGGGAAATAAACTCCCTGACTAAAAAAATCAATCACCGGATTCTACTGAGAAGAGAGAACACAATGTCTTCTTTCAAAGGAGCATCCAGTGTCTCCTGTCTGCATCCAAAAAGACCCAAAGATACCTCAGGTGGGAGAGCATGGTCCCCTCCACTCAGCCAGGGAGGACTGGTTCTCCCTCGTGGGGATGGGGTTAGAGGGGAACTTAGAGGTGGGACTGGTCTTGGAGGGAGAGGGAAGGCCAGTCTTCCCTGAGGGCCCACAGGACTGACTCATTCCTTTTGGGAGGCCCACTCTTCTTCCACCTGGCTCCCAGCAGGGAATCCTGGCCCTCCTTTGGGGGGCCTGTTGACTAATGAAACAGTGAAAGCATAGGTCAGCCATCAGGCAAATAATAAACATATTTGCACCGCAAGTCTGCTAAGCCTGCTTAATGGGTCGTCCCTCCATGTAAATGGGCTTCCTACCCCAGCCCCCATCGCTCCACCTGTATCAACAACAATGCCTCCACACAATTATCTTACCTTAATGAACTTAATCTTTAATTTCCCAGCTTGGCCCTGGTACTCAGCCTCCTAACAAAGGAAGTGGAACTGTTTGAGTCCCCGTGAGCTGCCTTCCTCCAACAGCTAGGGAAACTTTAGCCACGACAAGGATTTTTGCCCCTTGTGGAACTGTCAAAAGCAATAAATATTTTTCTTTTTATTCCATCATTAGACCTTCCTAAGAATGCCTCCCCATTGTCCACTGTAATTCCCAGAGCTCTCTGGGCAGGGGCGTTATTGTGGAAAATGAATCCTGAAGTGTTAACAATCCTGCCAAAGCGCTACACTCCCCCCCAACCCCCCCCCCCCAGGGCGTAACCGTTAGGAATGTGTCGCCTCACCATAGCCTGCTCGGCGAAAAGAGCACTTGTGTTTTTTAACACTGGTCTTTGAGGAGGATGCTCAAGTTAAAGCATTGTGGCCACTGTAAATAGATGCACTCAGCAGAATAGAGCTTCTTCATTCCTAATTAGGGAAGTAACTCTAGAAAGACAGAATGTCACTTGCTAGGCTGTGCGTATTGTTGAGTTTGTGCTCGCCTCCACAATGTGAGGTAATTGGAGTTGTACCTTTTAGAAAGCTGCTAATTTCACATAGGAAGTGCTAACAAGACCTTTCTGGGCCATGTTTTCCTTCTTCCTTTTTAAGGAAGTTACAGACCTTCAGTAGTGGGAATGGCTGAGCCCTGGCCTGGCGGAGGAAACAGCAGTAATGAACCACTTCAGCCCGCAGTTAGAAAAAGGAGGCCTCATTTTGGAGTCCTGAGAATACTAAGCACAACAAAAGGTTCTGTTTAAGCTTGTTATCCAGGACATTCTTACAGGCTACACAGCTTTCCCTGCAATGACCCTCTCCAAACAAGTGCATCAAGTCTGAGCAAATAGAAACACGCAACTTTCAAGGCTCAGAGTTATAGTTTTCTTTACAAAGCCATTTATATAATGTAAGCTGCAATTAGCATGGGACAGAGCAAGGAGATTTAGGCTGGAAAGTTCTTTTAACAAAAGATAGAAATTAGTGGAATAAGTAACAGTTAAATATCGGCTTCAGATAACTAGTTGAAAAGACCTTTTAAATCATTTACTAATAAAAAAATAAAATAAAATGATTTTGCCTCAGACCTTGTTCCAACCAAAGTGTGGTCTTTTAAATCACTGAACTGATTAATCTTACTAATTTTAAATTATCCAGCAAGAATGGATCGGAGCAAAAAAAAAAAAAAAAAAAGTCCACACACCCCCAAATGAAAAGCACTACAGCTTTTAAGCCTGACAATTTCATCAAAATGTCCATAGGAATTACATAAAAAATTCAAACCGTAATGAAATAAATTGCTACTTACATTATGAAAAGTCTGCAAAAGCTTTTTATAGACTTGAAATGCAGAAGTTATATAAACTGCACAGTAAAAAGAATTAGAAATTGACCTTTACAGATCAAGGGCTAAAATTAACAGTCTTCAGGGGGAAAAAAATTCCCAGTTCACAATGGCTTTTAATGCCATTTTTTTCCCCTACACTCATTTATCTAATAACCATGGCAAGGTTAGGATAAACAATGAACAGTATGTTTTCACATTTTCCACCTTTTGTGTCCTCCATATGAATTTCTAAAACACTTAAGAGAATAGATACATAAACCTGTGACCTTCAAATGAGCTTTTTGATACTCTCAACATTTTGAATAAAAAGATCAGAAAATGGAACCACTTTTACACAGTAATGAATTCCATTCTGTTGGGTAAACAAAGCTAAATTTTAAAACAGAGACCTGACATTTGTATAGCTCAAGAAGCTATTCTGTTCTTTTGGGGGTGGGCAGGGGGAGGGAGGGGCATTGTCAGACTTTACGGTGGGCTAAATAATGACCAAATCTACAATTCTCATAAAAAAAGGAGACACATCCATGTGGCCGTGTTCAACAGAGAGCCACCGTCTCCAAGACAAGGAAAACAAAAAAAATGCCCAATTTTTACGACGATTTCCCCCACCCCATGAACAATTGCTCCATCTAACAGAAAAGGAGGGTTGATGGAAGAGGCCCATGCCGCCATTATGGAGCTAACGCTTATTGACGGGAGCTACAAGGGCCTCCAAAAGTTACTCCAATTTCCGTCGAGCTTTTGTGCATCCCTTGTCCTGTCTGAAAGGCTCAGTTAGGTATTGTTGCAAAAAAAGTCTGCATCCACATTTGCTCCCCTCTAATTCATACTCGGCATTGTGAAGTTTTGCTATTCAGGGACTGATTGGACAACAGCCCTGACAATGGCCCAGCGATTAGTCTCCCAGCATGGGCTGGGGTTGTGGGTATAAACCTAGGGATGGGGCTGGAATTCACTGGGGCATTCAGCTTCCTCTCGGGGCCTTCCTGAGAGGCCGTGCCTCCTTTGCTGCAGGTAATGCATTCCTTCAGACCGGGGAAACCGAATCCTTGTAATTAGCGTGTCCAGAACAGGGCAGGCCGCCCCCTCCCTGCAAGCCGGCCCTCGGGGGCCCCGAAGCTTTCTAAGGAGCTCAGCCCCTGAAATGCTCCGGCCTCGTCGAATGGAAAACTTTCTCGGGCGGCTCGGTGGGCCTGAAAATCAGCACACAGGGGAGGGGTGCCCGGGCAGGGCGGCGAACTGCGCGCCACTTTAACCCTTGGCGTGCCGAGTCGCGCGCAGGGAGCGCCTCCCGCGGACCTGCGTGGCCGGGTCCCCTTGTTTAGGCGGGGGACGCCGGCGTTCCCTGCTGCACCCCGGCGGCTGAGCAAGTCGTTAAGTGTACAGATGTCAGTCTGGTGTTTTACATGTCAGTAACTTGAATTAATTTACATTTATTTTCCTATTGTTTTATATCACTTTATGACAATGTGCTGCATAATATAATTTAAATCTTTAATGTACAACTAATTCTCTACCATTAATTTGTCAACATGATTACTGGATATGCCACCCGGAAAAGCAGCCTGACTTGAAATATGTATAAGACATTCCTGGGTTTTTTACGAAGGTTTACATATGAAATGACAAAGATGTACGGAGGGTTTTTTCTTGGACTGTCTACAATCTTATGAAAACTACAATTTCAATGTGATTTCCACTTCAACTGAGGCATTCCCTATCAATGGGGACTAAGACACTAGCACAGCTCCCTCCGTGAGGAAATTAATGGAGGCTGCGCAGGGTTCTTGCAGCAGCGGCCGTGAGGGAGCATAAAGGGTCAACCCTTTGGCCTAGGGGTTCCCCCCAGGACTGCTCCCAAGCCTCCAGCGCCCGCGCAGAGAGGCCGGGGGTGCTCCGGGGAGCTGCAGAGAACAAACCCGCGCCAGGCCGCCTGCAGGCACCATCCACCTTGGGACAAGTCTGAGAGGAAGGGTGGTACCTGTGGGGCCCAGCATTTCTGAGCTGCCTGGATTCGGGACCCCTCCCCCCAAACTTCTCCAGCCCCCCAGACTCGGTCTTTCTCCCACAGTCCCGTGCAGGTGGAAAAAACTTCCCTCCACGCCGCAGGAGGACAGGCGCCCTGCAGCCACTAGCCAAGGGATAACACCCAAAACGTCTCCACCATTAAAAATTTTTTAAAGCAGCACCCCAAACCTTATTAAACATTCAAATAGAAAAATTAAGATATTCTGGGCAAAAGAAGTGTTTAGACAAAGGCTGTCTGCTTCAATTTCCCCGTGAAGCGGGGAGCTGGCTGCTGGGTGAGAGAGTGACGGTGGATTCCATAAATTAACTGAAAATCCCTCTTCTCCGCAGCCCAAGTTATCTCTCTGTTGCCTGCAGCTCTGATTTAGAATGGGAGCCGGCTTGTTTACCGGTTTAATTAATGCTCCTTCTCAAGCAGGGAGCAGGGGAAGGGAGATGAAGCGCCTTGGTGATAAACAGGTGTAGCCGGGCCTGTGGCGGGTTCGCGGGGTCCGCTGCAGCCTCATCAGGCTTGACTGGGCTTGACCCCGCCAGCGAAAAAGGTAGATGGCGCGGCTGGAAGCGCAGTAGGTGAGCATTATTTTAACTGCCAGTCTGTGATTGGAATGGCTTAAAGGGACAATCAGCCCTTGGGTTTTTCTTCTTCCAGAATGTATTCTGATTCTTTCCTGTTTCTGAGCCGAGAAGAAATAGACCTTGACGATATAGGTCGTATTTCCACCTCCTCTTCCTCAGCCTTCACCTCAAAATGTAAGGGAACCGCCACTTAAGGAGGAAACCCGGCTCCCGCAGCTTGCTGGGGACCAGCGTTCTGCTCTGAAGAAATCCCTAGGCATGCTCTTTATTTACTTATATCAGCTTTTAATTCCAAGAGCCTAATATCTGGGATTGGACTGTCCGTGGCCTACGTGTTTCTGTGACCTTACAGATAACAGTGAAGCTTGGATGGAAAATGAAATTCAAGCGCCAGCTAATTTTAAAAACATAACTAAAAACTCATTCCCGAGGGGAGAAATGGCAGTTTCTGTAAGCACAGGCTGAACATGTTTTTAAATTAATAACTAGCCCTGGTATTTGCTAAATGATGGCTGTATCTGGGGGGAAAATTTAGTCATTAAAAACAGCAGGTGCCCAAGGTGGGAATATATGTTTCATGACTTCAAGTCACCTGTCTGCTTTGCCTGCTGCCTTTCTTCCAGCCAAGCATCCTGGGGAAACAGAAGTGAAACCAGAAGCTGGTCTGTCAGCGGTGCAGGCCTTTGGGGGGAAAGAGTTTGTTGTTTTTTAAACTACCACTTATTGTTTGCCTACTTGATGACTTCAAGGGTTATTGCCAGTTCTGACAGTTTCCCTACAAAAGTATTGCTCATCTCCATTTTCGAGAGGGGTTGAGATAATTTCAAGTGATTTTCCCAAGGTCACAAAGCTAATCTAGTGCCTGTGTAAGTGGAAAATGGGGGTCCCTCAGATCTCAGGGCCCTTTCCTCTCCTAGCTTCTGTGAGGTAGCAGTGACCCTAGATAACTATAATCACAGGAAGAAGGGGATTCCATTCTAAATAAAGACTCCTTATGTCCTTAGTTACACAAGATCTTTTTTGCCACCCGGAGAATTCCACCCCAAGTTCAGGTTCAAGCCTATCAGGACCGAACACACTTTTATTGGCCCAAAGTACTTTGCAAAATTCGGAGATTTCTCTCTGTGAATATTTCTAGACGTGGAAGTAGGATCTTTCCATTTCTTTGCTGATTCCACTCTTCATGTGTGACCTTGAGCAAATCACCTACTAAGGCTGAGGGAAGGCCCTTCATCCATGCTGGGCACATCATCTATCCTCTGGGTATCCCCCAGGGCCAAAAGGAGC